ATATATATATATATTGTTTTATTTATTGTAGTAAACTGCTTTCATTGTTTGAGAAACAAACAAAAACAAGTGTAAAAAAAACACTTATCCACTACTGGCACCCACTTTTGTATTTTGTAAAGTTGACGACTCATCCGCTCAGAGAAGACAATATCATGGTTGACAATAGTTGGCTCCATGGATGGACCCGAACACTGAAGCAACAAGAAAAACAATTATTATTTATTGTGCATAGATGGGTAAACTCAATTTTAGAACAATAATTATCAATCATAAATTCTGGAATCTTAATAATACACACCACCACAAGTTCTCCAATGTAATCGAAGGCACAGTGTGCAATGCAGCCATACTGGACTGTGTAGCCCACAAACCCGAGAGTCTTCCCCAGCACACTGCGGAACATCTCCACCTATACACAAAACACAACCACAGGTTATTGCACAATGTCGCGTACATAGTTATCATATGCTCTATAATACAGCAGTGAGGGGAGGATTTAATGTTTGATCCATTTATGGTAGGCTTATGTCCTTTGCAGGATTTCTAAAAACAAAAGCTGTTTGGGGTTTAATTTCCAAAGGTGTGGACAAGGTTGTCACAGTTGGCCTACTGCTAAGATGGCACATTCCCTGGTGTTTCATTCTCAGAGGCTGAGCGGCCAGTTCACACCAGAAAACTGCCCTGAACTTTGATCCTGTGTAGGATGGACCAATCAACACCTTGCGCTCAGGTGATGGACAAACACAGAGGCTGTGACACATCCAGCCAAGCAGCTCAGCAACGTGTGCAGCTAGTCCCTGACACTGTGCTGCCTCCACTACCACCACAATCATTAGAGCAGTTATCAACTGCTGTCAACACCATAGAAACACAAAGATACCCCCAGCAACCCTCCACCCACCCTCAAACAAATGCACACAAGGACTACCCGTGTGTCTTCTGAGCAAACATCCCAGCCGCACTCAGGTTATTGACTTTTACTAAAGCTGCAACCTGTTGGATGGACAGAAGAAAGTAAGTCAATCTTTACACACTGCCGTGCACAGTGTGTACGCAGGCACACCTGCACACACACACACACACACACACGCAAATATACAAACAGATTGAAACTGTATGTTTTTGCAAAGAACAGATACAGCTTGGCTTAGAGGAAAGTCTGTACTTGAAACATTTTTAGCTCAGGCCGCTGTCCTGCCAGTCCACCACAGGGTAAAGAAATCCTTTTCTCCGTCTCCCTTATTCCTTCTGTCTCTTTCCCTCTTTCTCTCTCCATGTCTTCTCTCCCTCCCAGGGTATTATTAACAAAAGCAAGTAGAGCGGAAACCAAAGCCCCAAATCCTCAGAGCTCTGAGAATGACTTCCCAAAGATGGACACGGATTAGACCCCCAATTTCTCCCTTGCCCCACCACCTCCACCTCCCTTTCTCCCCAGGTCCCCAACAGACCGGGTGTCAGGTGGCTCTCCCAGCCCTGCCAAAGGTGTTACCCCTAATCCCATTACCCCCCTCTGCTCTCTTTTCTCTCTCTCTCTCTCTCACACACACACACACACACACACACACACACACACACACACACACAC